CATGTCCTTCGTGCTGTCTGGTTGCATTGGTTCCAAGGGTGGTTGGACCCTTTGGTTCTGAGAGAGGGGTCCTCCACCCTCCCCAGGGGCACAGGTCACTCACCAACTCTCTTCTCTTCCAGACACCACTCGCCCCCAGAAGAAGAATGAGGTGGAAGGGAAGAACTATCACTTTGTCTCCACAGAGGAGATGACCAAGGACATTTCGGCCAATGAGTTTCTGGAGTTTGGCAGTTACCAAGGAAACATGTTTGGCACCAAATTTGAAACTGTGCATAAGATCCACCAACAGGATAAAATTGCCATCCTGGACATTGAGCCTCAGGTGAGGGGTGAGGTGGGGATCACCTTTAATTTTGTGGCTGCAACTTTGCACACACCTTCCTCTGCACCAGCACTTGTGACTGCAGTTATTTGTGAGTGCAAAGGAGGATTCAGCCGAGTACCAACCGCACCCCCCACACTTGCCTGACGCAGGCAGGAAGAACGGTGTGTGCCTGTCACTCGGGGATTGATCTTGGCAGGGGGGAAGTCTGCAAACTGCAGTCCCTTAAGCTGTGGAGGAGGTGTGTCAGAAGGCGAGGCAGTGAAAGGGTGGAGTGCTTGGTTGGAAGAGCGGAGTGCTGGAGACGCACTTCCAGGAGGAGGCAAATAGAAAATCCTCAGGTTGGAAGGGACCTTGGATCACCTAGTCCAGCCCCTGCATTGATGCAAGTTTCTCTGCTCCTAAACTAACCCAGACAGAAGCCTCTTCTCCAGCCTCCTCTTAAAATCCTCCTGAAGGGGGACACTCTATAGCTTCCCAGGGCAACTGGTTCTGCTGTCTTGTTCTTACATCTGCATTGCTGCAGCTTGAACCCAATGCCTCATGCCCTGCCTTCTGTAACAGGAAGAACAGTCTTTCTGTATGGCAGCCTTTCAAATATTTTTGAAAGCTGCTCCCATGCCCCCCTCAGTCACAGATCCTCATAGTCCCTTGGGTGAACAGATAAAGATGAGGGCAGTGAAGCCCTGGAGCTTCTTAAGGCTACCTAGCAGGGGTATGGGATCTCCTGCACTTGAGGATTTAAGGGGAAGATAAGGATGGCCTAAGTACCTGACGCTGTCTTACTACAAGACATCACTGGATGATATCATATGGGGTCTCTTCCTGCCTTGCCTTTCTGTGATTCTGTAAAGCCAACATGTGCTCCCTTGCTGGACCTGTCCCTCAAAGTCATTGCTGACAACTTGCTTATCTCCCTGCTGCATGTGTAGTTTGTGGAGCTCCTGCCTCAGAAGGGGGTCATAAAGGTAGATGGCAAGGGGGCCAGCCATTGGCATATAATACCTGGAGGGTAATTAGAGAGGATGGAGATGGGTTTTTCTCTGTGGCTGTAAGGACAGGACTGGGAGCAGCAGTCTCAAGCTTTAGCAAAGAGAATTTGGGCTGGAGATTAGGAGGAACTTTCTGACCATGAGGGTGATCAAGCATTGGAACAGACTACCTAGAGAAGTTGTGGGATCTCTATTCCTGCAAAATGTCAAGAGGAGATTGGATAGACACTCAGCTGGGCTGATTTAGTCAGGGACAATCCTGTCATGAGCAGAGGACTGTACTAGATGAGCTTGTGTGTTCCCTTCCAGCCCTACTTTCCTATGATCAGATAGCCCCATGGTGTCCACACCTGGAGCAGCCTGGCAGAGTACAACTAGGACAGGAGAAGCCATGCCTCGCATTGGTGGCACTGAATGAGAAATACCTGAGTGGGAGCCATTCTGGCCACCATGGGGTGGTGGGAAGAGAAGGGGAGAAGGGTTCTTGGGTGTTGGGGGGGATACACGGGGGGGAAACGCAGTTTGAACCAAAGGCAAAGTTGGCCTTCCCTCCTTGAACAATGACAGCAGTTCAGTGCTTCTGGTTCCTGAAAATTTTTCTTTAGAGCAAGAAAGGATAGTGACAGCTAAGAACTCCCCACCCAGGTGCTGCTCACCCAGAAGTAGTGCACTGCTACAAGGTGCCACTGTTTCACATGGTCACCCAAGGAAGATGGCAAGCAGGATGCCTGTTTCTGTGACCTGGCACAGCCAGCGCTCATAGGAGGCTTCCCATTGGTGCAGCCCTAGCTAAGGACTTTTGAGTGAGTTTATACTTAGCCAGAGGTGCCAGCCATACTGCTCTGGGGCCCAGACATCTACTCCAGTAGTGCAAGTTGCCTACAGCCTCACCCAGATGCCTCCCCTTTGACCTGGAGGGACCCATCCGTAGGGGTGGTTTGGTCACCATGGCCATCTGACTCCTCTTCTGGGAGGCTGCAGCAGAGCACCTGGGGAGGGTGAAAGAGGTGGTGGGGCTCTGGTAGTCAGCGTGTGGTGCTCTCTGCTCCAGGCAGCGGTACTCCTCCACTGAGTAGCCTGTTTCTTTTCCCTCTCTGTGCTGCAGACGCTGAAGATCATCCGCACTGCAGAGCTTTCCCCATTCATTGTTTTCATCGCTCCAACAGACAAGGCCGACCAGGTGAGCAGTGGCTGTTTGGTGCTGGGAGACCTCCCCTCTGTCTGTGGTGGCAAGACCAGAGGGGCTGGTTCTCTCCTCACTCAGCTAGTGGCTCTTGCGCCTTTCTTGGGGATTGGGTCTGATTTTTCTCAACCAGAGGGGTGGGCTTATTTTTACATCCCATCAAATTCAATCCAGTTGACAGGCCACAAGCCACAGGCCAGTGCAGGGCAGGCTGGCTGGTGGGGTACAGCATCTCTGTGGTATTCTGTCTGCTCAGGCCACTGCAGAAAGCCTTGGGTTTTAGTTCCTCCTTCAAGCATGTAGGTTTTCTTGCTGGGGCCTGGCAGATGACTGCTTCCAGCTGCATGTGGTACCAAAGCTCTAGGAACAGAGAAGGCCCAAGGTCCCTCAGTGCCAGCATCAGCTCATTGGGGGGGAACAGCCATTTTCCCTGCCCCTTGCTGCTCTGTTCCCTCCCATTGTAGGTCCTGCAGGGGGGTGGGGGTGCCTCTGGGCTGGAAGAGCAGGCTATGAGGCAGCTGAAGGAGAAGCAGGGTTGCAGCAGGTGACACTTGGCCCTCAGGAGCTGTGCGTCTTGTGTAGCTTCTCAGCAAGAGCCCCATTCACCTTCCCTGCCAGCTCCGTACCCAAGCCACTAGCTTCCAATACAGGGGACAATAGCCTACAGCAGTGCTGTTCAACTGGTGACCTGTGGGCAGGGGCTTCTGCTCCATTCTGGGCTTCTGCCCCATTGCCTCTCCCTCCATTGCTCTAGATGCAACAGCAGCTGGGCTCTCTGACATCCCCTTCCCCCCACTGAGTTTTGCTCCTTGCCCATACCTTGGGGTAGCATGGCAGTGCAGTGAGGGTAAGCTGTATCGGTGGATGGTCTGGGGGAAGGGGAGTGATGGGTGTGCAGCACAGCAGTGGCAGGAGTATGCACGTGGTATGCAGGCTGGGCAGCCTAAGGCTCACCCTGGTACAGCTCCCACTATTGCATCGTGGTGGGCATTTGGCCCCCAGAGGCTTAGAAGATGGACAGCCTTGGCCTAAGATGCCAACCTAGGAGCACTGTTACCCATGCATGCTGTCAAGCCCCGTCCTACAAATCTTGCAGGATTATCCAGGCACGATAACTCACTTCAGAAATACCCACTACTGCAGAGCTTTCCACTCTCAAGAGATGCTCCATGGCAGTGAGAGCAAAGCAGGGAAGTGTCATTTTCTCTGGTCTCTGCCACTGCAGTCTGGGGCTCTGCTGAGCATTGAAATGAAGCTTGCTGAGGCAGTGCTGCTTGGAGGAGGCCTGTTAACTAGTCTCAAATATGCAAAGAGCAAATGATCTGGCTAATTAAGTTTATCCTCCTTGAATTTGGAGGGAAGCAGTGTTTTATAAAGCGCCTGGCCCAGGGAGCTCTGTGGCTCCCATGGGGCAGTTCATATCACACTGTGCTTCTTTGAGTTGGTTCTCTAGCGGTACCAGTACAAGCCAGTGCCTTGGCTGACTGCCAGGTGCCTCAGTGGCAGTGTCAGGACAGACCTAACATGCAACGTACAGCTGGAAATCAAAACTAGGAGAGAAGGTAAAACAGCCAATGTGGAATCAAGCTCTGCCTGGCCCTGAGGATGCTCCAGCCTGAGTCAGGCTGGTTTGCATACTCGTGGCCAGGGCTGGCTCTGTCAATCAGCCTGCGGCTGTGGATTTGCTAAGATTAGGGCGCCTGCTGTTCTCGGAGAATATCATAGTAGGAAAAGACTTAAGCAGCCTTCCACTCAAACTGCCTGCAATCTGATTTGTTAGCAGAAGGGCCTCAGAGTGCAGTGTGTTACATAAGGACCAAGCTGAAAAATCCATGGGGCAGCCAGGCCGCTCCTCCTCTGTGCGCTGGTGCCTGTACAAATGGTGGAGATCCTGCTGCCAGGAGTTTGTGCCTGCCGCAGTGGGCAGGACGGAGGGTGCTGAAGCATGTGCTATATATAGCCAGCTGCTGCAGTTCAGGTAACAGCTTACTGAAAAGAACAGAACAGAGCTGAAATGTGACCACAAGGAACTCAGATAATGGAAAGCAGTGATGATCCCTCCAGCCAACAATCTGTTGTTTGCTGCACAGCAAAGGGATTGGTTCAACCTGCAGCAATTCTCAGTTGCCCAGAGCTGAGCTCCTGCTCCTGCTGGTAGTAAACAAAAGGAAGAACCATATTCATTTCAAGCTCCATTAGCTGTGCAGGATGCAGGACAGCAGCAAACAGCAAAGAACCTGGTTTTCCTCATTTAAATAAGCAGAGAGCTCACACTTACAATAATAGGAGCCAGCTGGGGAGGGTCTGAACATCCCTCAGCTGTGTTGCATTACAGCACTGCTGTACCAGCTTCAAGGGCTGTGATGGGCTGGGTCCTGCTTATGCTTGCATTACTGTCCCTGCCTCAAAGACCTTGCAGTCTGCAGTGTAGGCTCTGTCTACACCAGGCCTGTCCAACTGAGCAGTTAATATATGGCCTGTGGTTCCTGGCAGTTGCCTCTCATGCTACCATGCAGCAGGGGGTGCATCCTTGGGGGAGGCATCCCTGCAGCATGCTGACCCTGCCTGGCTGTGCTCAAGTTGGACTACCTGAAACTGTGGCTTCTGCTTGAGCTGCAGCACCTAAGCCCTCAGCAGAGACCTCCCACAGCTGGTATGACAGGGGCGGGCAATTATTTTGGGCAGAGGGCCACTTACTGAGGTTTGGCAAGCCATTGAGGGGTGCATGACAGGCAGCCAGGGGCAGATAAATATTAATTTTCTGAATTTTTTAGGGGTCCTGCAGGCCAGATGGAATGGCCTGGTGGGCCACATCTGGCCCGCAGGCTGCATTTTGCCCACCCCTGTGGTATGAGCTTTTGTGCTGCCGTATTTCCACTAGTTCCACCGAACAGCAGCTGCTCAGCTCTGCTGGTTACAGGACAGGATCTTTGCCCACCCCTCTGCTGGCAGCATTGTGTGGTGCAGACAGGGTCTCAATAGGCAAGACAGAAGGTGGATAGGGAAGGGACTCCACTGAGCTCCCCCAGCATGGATGGATTCAGAGTCGAATCAGAACGACTGATCTCAGGGAGGCAGGGCTGGGCTTCGTTCACAGCACAGAACCTGCCAGCAGAGTTGTCTTGGTAGGAGGGTATCATTGCTCTGTGGACACTTGCTTCAGGATAATACAGTCCTGCAAGTAGCTGTTGTCAAGTGCAGGAACCTGAAAGATTTCTTCTCCTGTGTGTGGAGCTCATGTCACAATGCCTGGCTGGTCACAAATGTCAGACTGTAGATGGAATGTCCCACTGTGCTGTGACAATTGCAGCTTTCTGGTGGCGGCTTCCTCGGCGCTCACAGTCCCATGTGGTTGGGTCGTATGTACCAAGTGCTGCCATGACAAGCCTCTTCCACCCCAGAGCCTCCCGTGGGTGACTGTGCCTCATCATGAGACATGCAAAACAGCCTTGTCTCACAGCCTGGGAATGTTCTGCATACAGGTTGCCACCTGTAAGCTCTAGGAAGCACCTGCAGCACTAAGGCTCCACTGCTTTGGTCCACACAGCAGCAGCATTTAGAACATGCCTCACTGGGCAAAGCTCAGTAGCCCTGAACAAAAGCCACTGAGGCAAGTTGACAGAGAGCACTTGACTGACTTGTATATTAGGATGAAGCCAGTATTTGCTACTGCATGAGGAGGTAGCTGGATGGACTTTTGTCAGGGGAACAGGCCAGCCCTGTCGTCATTGTGGGGAAAGCACAAGGCTCCTTGGCCTGGGGTGCAGGTCCCTTCTGGGAAACTTCCCCCACCCTGCAGTTCCACTTTATGGACTTTACACTCTTTTGCAGTCAGAAGCCTTGCAACAGCTACGGAAGGAATCGGAGACCATCCGCAGCCGCTATGCACATTACTTCGACCTGTCGCTGGTCAACAATGGTGTGGATGAGAGCCTCAGGCTGTTGGAGGAAGCCTTTAACCAGGCCTGCAGTTCACCCCAGTGGGTTCCTGTCTCATGGGTTTACTGAGATGTCTTCTCACCCAGGCAGCCTTCCTAGAACCCATCCTTCAGCATGGAGTGAGGGAAGCCACCTCACCTGCACAGCCTTCCCTGCTCCTTCTGTTTTATGAATACAGCCTAAACTGGTCTATCTGACACAGGGTAGGAGTGCAGCAAGCTCAGAGAATTAGCTTGGGGGGGGGGGGGAGGCTGTCAAATTCAGTTGGGAGAGGGAATCATTAGATTTAAGCCCTGGTCTAGCCATTGCTAGAGCCAGACAGAATCTTTAATTCACAACACAACTCCTACTGGTTGCACAGGGAAGCCATCATGTAGTAACCAACTACTGATAAAAAGTAACTATTCATTACCAGAGCTGAGAGGTAAGAAGGTAGGGGCACTTCCAGCCCCATCTCTGCTACTTTCTTCAACCTTTAGCTCACAGTGAATACCAGCATTAGCCCCTGTATTCATTAAGTTTCAGCATCATGAAGCTTAATGTAGCCATAAAAGCAATTCATATGTCTAGCCAGTATTTTTTCTGGGCTACATCAGCTTGTATTTTAAGGATTTCTTTCACTGGCACAGGTAGAGGCTGTTGTGGGGGTGGGAATTCAACACCCTTGGGCTGCTCCATACTTTAGCAGTGGAAGTTCTTAATTTTCTGGCATAACTTGTGCAACTGTGGTTTCATCTCTGCTACTAGATTCTGACTCTTATCAGCTGTCCTCAGAGACTCAGCAATGGTTAGGGTAAATAACCCCACAGACCATACAGGGAAGAAACAATTAGACTGGTATATTAGATTCAGCCAGTACTACTGTGTATCTCATTGCATGCACTAGAAACTGATGTTCTCCAGCTCCCACTATGTGCAAATGTTACCCACAACTTCCACCTGTGAGGTGCCTGGTGCTTACACAGGTAGCCAGCCAGCCACAGAGTGATCCCTCTCCTTCATCAATTTCATTGGGTTTGTGATCTGTCCTTAAGCCCCAGAGATAGGACCAGGGGCTCATGTGTTGCAGTAGTTCCATAGCATCTAGGTAAGGAGTCTTCTGTGCATTCAGCAGAAGAAGAATGGGTATAAACTCCAGTGCAATTTTTCAAGGATGCCAAAAACAACTCATGATGTGCAATAGGGACTTTGTTCTAGGCCACTGCAGGGAAACAGAGTAGCAATAAAAGTGTGTTGAAACCTTGCCATGACTGGAGCTTCACAGTTTGTGCTGAATATGCTTTTTGGTTCATGGTCTCAGCACGGGTGTGCAGAACTGCTGAGGACATTCCCCTTCACTGATTCAGTCACTCCCCTGGGAAACAGAGGAACTGTCATCAGGCAGAAGTGACTGGGCACCTCCTACCACCAGAAAACTTTTAGGACCACTCAGCACTTGTCCCTCCGGCTGCACTGAGCACTGCCCCTCTGAGAAAAGAGCAGTATCCTGGCCTTGCACTAATCTAGTGCTCTCCATCCCAAGGTAAGATATATTTGGAGTGACAATACCTATAAGATCACCACCTACCTCACAGTGCAGGCTTTCAGGCAGTAATGAGAAAAAAGGCAAAGCCAACAAGGAGTTCTAGACAGATTCAGCACTGGCTTTTGGTTTCAGTGTGCTACCTGAACACTGTTCCCCCTAGCAGCACTATCCTCTTCCTTGGAGGCAGAGCCCATAGGCAAGAAACTAACAGCCCTGGGTTCCTCTGCAGCTGCTCCTGAGATGGATGGGCAGGCTTCATTCTCTAGCAATAGATCATGGCTCAGTGCCTGACTGAGCCTGTCACCCAATGCCAAGCAGCCAGAAGAGCAGAGAGCATGTGATGAAAAATAGTTTAATTTTTTTTATATATATAAAAAGTAAATAAAAATCACAACCTTTTTCTGCTTAAATTCCTAGTGGCCACCTTCTGCATACGCCATGCACACACCTCCCTAGCACTGGACAGGGGAAAAAGGGAGACAAATTAAAGATTACACAAAGCCACCACACAGCTTGGCAGCAAGTGATACTCAGTGCACAGCAGCCTGGCCCTTCCCTTCACTAAGGGGTTAAAACAGCACAAGGACAGTCTGACAGTATCAGAGAGATCCAACACCTGCTACCAACAGGACACCTCAGGAAATAGCTGCATTTTGTTGGGGGGGGGGGAGATGGGACTCTGTCGCACCTTCGTCTCCAGGGACCCCCATAAGGAGAAAGGAAAAAATCCCAAAAATATTTTGGGAAAATGTTTGGACTCCAGAAGGAGGGTCAAACCAAACACATGCCAAGATTAAAACCAAAGCATGTAAAAATAGTCTAGTCAGTCAAAAGTATTCTAACCCCACGTCCCTTATTACAGGATAATTCACGAACATCAGAAATGTTCTTGGTAG